GTTTGTAAGGCCTGTTATATTTTATTCAGAATAAAGTTCTAAAACCATCTACCATTTCTACCATTTTGGGGCTTAAGTCTGGAAAGTTTAGAGCTCTGGTGGCTCTCTTAAAAATAGATGAGTTCAGCGTCACAATATAGGCGGTTGAGAGAATACAATTATTAAGACATTCGTAATTCGTTAATACTTATTAGTTGTTAGAATAAAGTATAAACCGACGATATTACTTAAATCGAATAATCTGTACAACATCGATTAACTATGTCACGCACGGAACCATCAGCTGATATTATAACGGTAAAATGAAAAAACAAAACTTTTTGTTTTTATAATGATGACTGCTTAGAGTTTAACACAATTTTATTTTATCCATGTATAATGCGTCGGGTTACGTTTGCCCTAGCCAATAATCTAAACGATTAAGAGGACGCTACACCCACATGTGTTGTCTCCGTCTTACAAAGGTACAACATAACAAAAACTGTTCCAGGTGAGAAATAACCGAGTAGACTGTAGTTATAACTAAGAAACCAATTTTTCACCATGAATAGAGGGAGAATCTCAAATGTGTCGAACCGTTTTTATTTTTTTGATAAAACCAATATATCGAAAATTATTTAAGTTTGATAAACGTAAAAATATCAGATTTTCAAAAGTATTATAACTTTTTTTTCTTATTAATGATATCAAACAAATAAAAACTCTACGACACTGAAAATATTATCTTCTATATTGTGTAAACTTTTTTCGTCTCCACTAGAACTATAGACTGAGTGGTTTTATTCCACGAACACAGTTTTTGCAGCGATGTACATTTTTAAGACAGATTCAACACACGCGGGTGTAGCGTCCACTTAACTATAGTCCCATATATCAGTTTATATGAATTTTATTTTATATCGAATTGTTTTTTAGATGGGTATACAGTTTAAGTAATTTAAATTTAACGAAAATTCGAAATTGATAGGCCGAAATAATTCATAATCGGTTGCCTTTAATTTTGAATTCATAAATTACGTACTTGTGGAAAATAGTACTGATAATGATTCAGATTTCTGGATTTAAATTTGTTGAGTATATAAAAAATTTGGATTTTATGATAAGTTATATTTACATTTTTTATTTATCTAACAATATTTAACATTTTAACTCGATTATAACGCAGTTACACTATCGTCAGTTTGTATAAGTTCTATAACCAATTAAAAATCTGAAACACCCTTTTAAATAGGTTCCTAGAGAACACGGGTATTTGATTCAGCTAACTAATAAAATGAAAATTATTAATCAGAAATTCCAAAAACCTTTATGTTTTCCCAGTATGTGCTAATAGAAACTGTAGGAGCATTATCATTATAGTTTATGATCTACCCGACTACCCCTCTGCTCGTGTAGTGATTCGTAGTATCGGAAATATTAACTTAGTATCGCTTAAAAACACGGAGTAAAATTTGTACGCCACCATAACAATTCCATATGATGACTTATCAAAAACCACGACAAAGTCTAGTCGGTGTCAACGAATGTCTCACCTTACAATTAAGTTTAGATTTTACATACGTGAATGTAAGTCAAGGATTCTCTGCGGAATCGTGCTGCGTCCAGCAGCCACACTGGCGTCCGGCACACGACCGTAATTTTTACTGACAGATTTTTCACTGTCCCGATAACTTTCGTAAGCCTTCAAAGACTGAAACTTTTGATATGAGTTTTGCTTAGAGCCCATCGGTGGCTCTAGATTCTAGAAGCTTTAATAACAAGAAATAGAAAAACGGGATTTGATGATACGCTTCGCCCGTGAAAATATATTCATTCAAACAAAGAGACTGCAATTTTTACTGATTTTTAATTTTGTAGATGTGATGTAGAGTACAGTTAAAAATTTTTCACAATTTTAATTTTTACGTTTTTTAAATGGAATATTATAATATTTTTATTACGCTGCAAAATGTACATATTTGAGTAAATCCTAACTTTAATTAATGGTACTAATTTTTATTTTTCTTATATTAATGTAAGGAATTATTTTTATCAATTGTTTTGAAATATTTTCTAAGCCATATAATAATATAATTTTTCAAACGAAAAAAAATTATTACATCATCCACCGCTAAAATAATATTAAGTAGGTACCTACATTATGTTTGATATGTTTCATTTAATTTAGCCCCCTCTTAAAATGACAAAGATATTTTATATTCACTGAGATAAAAGGATTGTCTGCTTCTGAAACTATTATAATATAGCGCATAATGTTTTAAGAGCTAAATATTGTTCACTTTGAAACTACTGCTTTTATATAGCTTTTGGTTTTGTAGAATTAATATGATATAATATTTTGAACGAGTTCAACACAAGACAAATGTTTATATAAAAGTTTATATAATATACTAGTTTGATTTATTTTAACAGTTATATTTTTTCTACCATAATACCTACAATCAAAAATCAATTTCAAAAGTTTCGGCCATAAATGGCAAAAATAAAATTATTTTTTATTATTTACATTAGTAATTTATCTTAACGTTTTAATAGTAGTTAGCAGCATGGTAATATTTTTTAACCCACAATCATATCATAGTGATATGGAACCACACACTAAATACAAGGTTATATTTACTGATTAATGTAAAATTAAGTTTAAAAAAGTGGGTAAGTGGATGTAGCTCTGCCGTGCATTCGGTGTGTAGGAAGTCACTGTAATGGATGGTAATGAATTCGAATTCCATGATATCACATCATTGTATACGAAAAACGATTCTGAGCGGAGACGAGATATTGTTATTACTTATTATTGATATGGTTACCGTTAAGTTGAATTAATATTATTCTTAAATTAACAGTTATGCTAGAAAAATATTAAATATACCTATCATAAACATTATTCTTTGTGTTAATATACTATCATATCCAAATTTGAACTTACGATGTCTGTAAAAAATAACTGTATTCATATATTTTTTAGATTTTTAGTTACAGAAAAAATTACTTAAGTGGAACCTTGTTTCAAAATGTTGTTCCTTAACTATAAAAATTTAAAATTTTAAAAATTTTTATAATATCAAAATCATTTTCAATTTTCAATTTGATAAATATTGTCAACATTTGATCTTTAAATGCTTATAAAAAATTTTGTGCCTGTGTATTTTTAATATTTTTCAACTGCTATTGTAACAAGTTATCTAAAGTCTTGCATTCAATGTTCATGCTTTTTGACCCAACCAATAAAATTGTATTGATATTTATAGAAAAAAAAATGAAAATTGAAAGTCTGTCAACAGCTTAAAACGAGTCAAAATATTTTGAAAATTTTATCAATTATTTTGATGAAATAAACATTTGGTGTAAATTTTAAGTGTCTACAAAAATTCGCTTTTGAATTACTACAAAATAAGTAAATCGCTACAAGAGACATAGAGTAAATATCCAATGTTGTAAAAATTTCAACTTTAAAAATTTACACTTTATGGTGTATAGAAAATGCTTACAAAAATATTTAGTGAAAATTGCATGTATCTACCGTCATTTTTGTTACACTAAAAACCAAAATCAATTTTTTCGAAAAATAATGGTTTTGAGAAAAAATTCCCGTTTTTTCTTAATTTCTTTTTTGTTTTTCCTGTTGCTTTTTAAAACTATAGGGAATTTTTAATTTTGACTTCCCGAATGCACCAACTAGAATCACTTTTCCACTAGAAAAGTTGATGTTGAAGAAAATCGAAGCACTTTCACTGCAAGAAACCGTGATGACAGACACACAAAAAAAAAAAAAAAAAAAAAAAAATAAATAAATAAATAAATAAATATAAAAGCTCACATCACTGTAAAATCAATACATTCCTCGCTCAGCTCTGAATCTAAAAAAGTTATTATTTAGTGAATGATTATTTACTATTTTATAGTTATATTTTGTTATGTTATACACCATAATCTGTATCAATGTGTATAAATATATCTCAATTTATATTAATTTAAGATTAATGAGATGTTTAGTTAATAAATCAATTTTAAACTATTAAAAATAGTTTCAGAATAAAGAAATCATACATTTTTTTGAAAATGATGTAGATTTATGATGTAGCCATTAAGTGTATGTTATGCATTATGAATCATATACAATTATACACCTTGAATAAAAATTAGCTAGTAAGGGAATATTGAGAGAGTATGATAACTGGAAAATTAATTATTATTTTTTCGTATAGCAAATTAATTGATTCACGAGTCATGATGATAATATTATATATGTAGTATATTCACCTAAAAAAAGATTTTTGCAGTTAAATATTTTTTTGGATTCATAAATTATATTGCATTTGAACTTATCCTCTATATGAGTTATTCTTGACTACGTTATAATATGTACAATACGTGTTTATTGATTATTATTATGGTACTTCAAAACAGAAATCGGCTCTAAATACAAATAACTGTAGGAGTTCATAGCGATATATACGAGTATAATGCAGATTACATGATAATAATCTAATGTAGTGGCATAATACACATGGCATATTTTATTATCTAACTATTCGATGCACGGATCACTTGTCGAAATTATGAGTACAAGTTGATTTAGTGTATCGGTTTTTGGGGCGTAGATACGAGAAATTGTTCAATGGACATGTTCTTGGGCTGGGTACAGATAATTTTATTTTCTGATACAAGATATATGATTTGGTTTAACGCTTTACTTATTGCCATAGAAAAACGCACAGTAAAAATTATATTGTATAGTTATTATAAATATATTTAAATTTATGATTCCTACATTTTCTTTGAAGTGGAAAATATCCAGTAGTGTGTTACGTTGTACTTATAATCTGCTTTTTCTTTAATTTCGTGTTGATGGTAAATGTTATGGTAAAAAAGAAATAATAACGTTTACGTCCGAATAAAATTGTTTGCTTCAAATAGCATTTATAATTCCCTAATAAATACTGAATGATTAATTATTATGACAAAATTAATTTTTTTTTATATTTTGATTTTTTTTTCAGGTAATTTTGGTGCTAAGAAATCTGTTAAGTCCTCGACAAACGTATTCCGTTCTCCGTGCATCAAATTCTCTCCGGTTGCATCGCCTAGCAAGTGTGGAAGGTCTAACAAACAACAAAACCATAACGTAGCTAACCGCCGCCGAAGCAGTGACGAAAAAGATACGCGAACTGTATATTTAAACGAGTATGATCATATTTTTTTCTCGATTTGTTTTTAGTTTCCGACATCACTTGTCCACCAGTGGTTTTAGTACAATATTATTAAACGTTCTTACACGACATTCGAGGTTTGAAGCCCACCTCGTGTTATAATAAGCTGTAATTATTTAGCTATATATTTGCAGTACCCTCCCCCCACTCCTCAAATGTAATATTTCTCATATAACGACACCCTCACTAAATGAACTCGTACGATACCAAAACTGAAGGTTTATCACATTTGGAAAATAAATGGAGTATTGTATTACTTATATAACGAAGATAGTGGAAAACTCACTTTATGTTGTGTAAGATGTGTATCCGATTTAATTAAATAAACTATATTGAATCTTCTATAACTTCTATAATACTACGGAGTTCAACAAAGAGAGTTTTCTAAGACATTAACATTTTGGTGTCAAGTTTTAATTATTAGAACATTACACCTAGATATCCATTTATTATATTATGTTATGATCTTCAATAATTTTATAATTAATAATGAAAATAAAATTATTTTTGAAATATCTTATTGAAAACTCAATAGCTATTGTTGTCGTGGATTTGATTAATGAAAACAGTTAAAAATATAAAGGTATACAAATCAGTTTGCTTAACACATTTCGTGAATGCCATTTATAGTTTAAATACAAGAATAATTTCTTGTTTAATTTAATTTAAATATATTATTGCATACATTTTCTGATGTGGTATTTTCATATTTCTATCATGTACAGGTTTCTGGAGTGTGAGTATTTTTCCCTATCCTGGAAAACGCGGCTCGGACTAGAAATATCCCCATCCACCATGAGATTAAATATTTGACTTTTTTCATTCACTGGGTGACCTATCTAACATATAGTTTCTTTTTCAAAAACAAGTCGAAGGACATTTATCGATTTCATCTGCCAGTGTGAGTGCAGCTGGTAAACGATTTGGCCCGGTCTCTGGTGCTGGCTTGCATGCAAACAAAAATACAAAAATAAAAAAAATATTTGTTTTCGATTTTTATATTTTTCTTATTGACATATTCGACACAGACATATAGTAAAACTTTTGTTAAAAATTTGATCAAATATAATTATTAATAAATGAGTCATTAATGAAGGGAGAGATGACATGTTAATGATTATTTTAACTAAGACTGAATATAATATTATTATTAACATGACAATATTATAGAGTTATTTCATTGATCTTTTTCATTTAATGCTCACTGTTTGTATTTTTTTAAATGGTCTCAAATTTGTAAAAATATAAAAATTTAGAATAAATAAATTTAATAACTAGTAAATTTGAATCGATATTAAAAGTATGATGATATTTTGAGTATAAACAAATCTAAAAACCAGATTCTTCAAATGTCATATACTTGCAGAAAGCACTTAAGAAAAATTCATCGTAATTCATTTTTAGATTTTCAATATATTTAAGTGACTTGAGATATTCTGATTAAATGGGTATCTAAATAATTATTCTGTGACCTATTTTTTACCTTGTTTTTTTTTCTTTTTACCTGTCTGATGTAAATTTACATTTTACTGAGGCAGAATTTATTGGCTGGTACATTTATATGTAGTAAAAAATCCAAGAATAGAGTACTTATACTTACATATAAGTATCATATAGTACAATAACTAGCAGATGCTTAGTACTGTCTTGTTACTTGGGTGAGAAAGATTATTATTCCATACACCATAATTTTTCAATAGCTATCTCATTGTGCCCATAGGTAGTGAAAAGCTAATTTTTATTAAATGAATAAGCATTAATAAATATTTACAAAAAATATTTAAAAACATATTTCTATACACAATTGGATACTAAAGCTTCTGATTATGAGATAATAATATTATTATAATTCATTTTTTCCAAAAATAGAATACGATAAACTATGGATGTATATTATGAGCACTTGCCACACACCTCGGTGTACTAGTATAGAATTAGTATTTTTATTTGAGAGCATTCAAAAGCTTTGTGTTTGTAAATTGATTTTCAACGATTCTCTTTTATAATTTTTGAGTATAATATTGCAGTGCAAATCAGTCGGTGCGTACTTATACAGTTATAATTATAAAGAAAAACCTTATAGTGAAGATTGTAGACATTTTTCATATTTCAAGTGCTCGTAAAATCAAATGTAAATTAAAGATTTTTTAACTTATTAAATAAAGTAATAAATACTGAGTCACAGATAAGAAAATAATTACCAATAAAACAGATAACCTTGTTATCACTCCAACCAATCAAAGACCAAAACTACAAATCTAAAATGTGTTATAAATGATGTAGGCACTTACAGTAAATTTCAATATATAAGTGTGCATATAAATATCTTCCTTTAGGATTGAGAATCCAGCAAACATCGAGTAAATTCAAAAATAATTCAATAATTCAAATTTATCACTGCTAACACACTAACCTAACATTTCTAATTTCAATAACTTTTTGTGAACAATCGTGTAACGAGGAAGTGTGTATTTGAACCGATACACTTATAATATTTTCATAGTTCATATTCAAACACATTATTCATATTTAAGTAAAACTTTATGTCTATATCAGAAGTGTATCTAATTTGATTATAGTACTCTTCACTAAATAGAATATTAAGTTTTATATTGATGATATTGAAATATTTAATTATATTTCAATCTTTAAGACGAGGAAATTAATTGAAAATAAATCTATCACTTGAAAATGTTCAAACATTCAATTGAATTTCACAATAGTCCATATAATATTACCCATGTGTAGAAAATGATTTATACTATGATATATGGTATATTTTATCAGAAATTAAATAAGTAATGTCAAGTCATCGTTTCCAGAAGTGGGCTATTTATAATGAACTTTGGGATAATATAATATACTAATTCATTGCTTATTAATGTTCGTATAAATTTATTTTGAACATTTAATAGCTTTTGCAATTTGTAATAATCAACATTGAAGTATTATTCAATGGTTAACATATTTTTGGTTGTGTAATATAATAAACAAAAACAAAATAAAATAATGCTGAAACCACAATCATCATTAAAAAGAACAATTTTATGTTCTACGTTCAAAAGTTGTCAAATGTGAAATGTAGAGCGTAGTTATAACTTATTTCTTATTGTAAATTGCGTATAACTTACTTATAAAAAGTTTGAACATATAATTTATATAAATGTTAAACGTTAAATTAACTCATTTGGTTGGTAAGTACTAAGTATAAATAATAATTCTTAACTAAATGAGTAGAATATAAGTCCTAAAATGTACAATTGTACAATAATATATCCTGGATAACAGCTATATAATTTAACTTATAAAAAAAAAATCACATTTAATTATTACCAAAACTAACAGTTATATTTATAATTCTGTTATTATACACACGAGATTTTATGATCACAAACTATAATCAGTATCAGTGACAGTTAATGACCAATATAGCTCGGCGTTTTAATTTTGAATATTATATATTAAACTTTATGTGGCTAAAGTACTATCTAGTGGTCTTTTACATGTATTTATTTATAACTACCTGCCTCAAATATTGCTGGACTCTACATTTTTAAGGTGTGATTCTAAAAATATGGAAACAAGTTATAGTACCAAAAGTGGAATTTAAGTAAGAAGTAGGTACTTAAAGATGAACCGGATGATTTAATTATCGATTCTTAGTATTCGCATCGTGTGAATAATGTATCGATACAATCATTAAATACGATTCAAAGTCGCATAAGTCGTTAAAATAATAATACAAAATTAAGTTTTCTTGGAAATAAATATTTTACGAAGAACAACACACTAATGGGTGCTTGGTGTATCCCTATTACAAGGCACAATAGCTATAAACTCGTTTACTCTAAACAAATTATACCGACATTTTTTTTTATTTGACGCACGTTGAGTACTTGGGTATTCACAATTTATAAAACAAAATTGATCATGTTAATTGTTTTTAAGAAAAGTAATATAACGCTACATTTTTAATAATAATTATAAGTCAAGTAAAAAATTATAATTGTATTTCTTTATATGCAACTCTACCCATGCAGCAGAGAAAAAGTATATTGAACCAATAATAGTCATAAATACTGTTCTGAAATCTGGGTTACCTCTATTATGTAAATTTGTTTAGTAATAAAACAAAATAAATAGTAGTGAGTAGTGGTTATTATGTGTTCATTAAATACTATAATATTTTAAATAGATTGTTTTATTGTATAATCTATAAACTTAGAAATAATATTTGTTGAATTGTTCGTTTTTTTTAAATGTAACCTATAATCTATATATTTATATATATTTTATACTACCTGCCCAAACTTACTAATTACAAATATTTTGATAAATAATTTGAAAAAAAAATCATAGCACATGTAATACAAGTGAGAGGTACTACTCATAAGTAGTCTGAAAAACAATGTAAAAATTCTGCGGGCTAAATTTATGAAACTGTATTTTCTTCTTATCTGAATACTGGTCTTAATTAACTTATAGCTTCAGTTTAACAATTGTTATGCAAATCTATGAATATTAAGTATATACAATTTCAAAACTCGAATATCTGAAGTAAACACAATTTTCTCTAATTCATCAGTATGGTATTATAGTATTTATTCTACCAAATGAATTTCAAATATACTTTTATCGGCAAAAGGAATAAATAGAATAAATAAACAAATCAAATTATATTTATTTTAGTTATTTACCTTACACATAAAAAACAAAAGGATTTTATAAAATAAGAAATAATATTTAAATTGATTTTCAGATTTTTTGTTTTAATTTTCTTGGTATCCCTTTTTATCCAAACTTAAGTGTCACTAATGGGTGGCTAAGTACCGGGTACCTCGGTTTATCACAAAAAAAGTACTGTTATTCAAGCAAATCTTATTTTATTGATTTCTTTCTCTTCTTATGTGCATAAAACTGTATACATTGTATATATTCTTATAAATTAAATAGATCTACAAAGTGCTAGTGTTAAATAAGTGATAAATGCGATTTAAACTATCGATCAATATTGAGATAATTTAAAGAATAGTTCTTTAAAAATTATAACTTTTAAAGGGCTAATGCAACTACATACAGACAGCTAATTTTTATTAGTGAATATCTCATTATTTGAAATTGACACGTTGATCTGTATACAACTATCTTAAGTACTACATTTTCTGTGTGAATGTTAAATGGTAGTACGCAAATTGCTTTTTTTCGAGAAGAATGTGTCTTATCTTATAGAATACTGTGTACAACTGTCTGTCTACTAAAGTGTAAGCTTTTGTTACGGACAAAATTACTGAACAAAATACTTCTTATCAAATGACACAAGGCTAAAAAATAAATAATTAGTTAAACAAAAGCACAGAAAAAAAAGAAA